ATCGCATCCAAAATAAAAGTTTTTGTTTACATATACAGTATATATATATATATATATATATGATGAACTGAATATGAATGAACTGAATAAGAAGGAAGGAGTGCAGGTCTAGAGCCTAGAGCCTTTGAGAGCTTAAACAGGTGATCTTCACGGACTAAATCACACCACCTCAAACCATTAACATGGAACAGGCATTATTTAGATCCTTCTCAAAGGATTTAGCAGCAGCTATATGTGAAGCTAACTGTTGCGTAACAGAGTTTAGTTTGTTTGATCTGTTGGCACACAGTGTAATCATCTGGTGTAATTGTGCTTGAGTGAAAACCTCCTCGTGTTTTTTTTTTTAATCTCAAGGACTTTGTTATAATTGTATTGTTTTTTTAATGAATACATTTTTTATTTATTTATATATATTTTTTTTTTACAATTCAAGCATTTTTTCCCCCTTTATTTCTAAATCTCAAGTCATAACTTGACAAAAGTATTTGCTACCATCTACACGGCCCTTCTAATATCACAATTTTACTATTTAAATACCATTGTGAATATTGTGTTTCCATTTCTAAATATGAATTTGTTGGTCATTCATGTACACATAACTTGTAATTACAATATTCCCATTGGCACTTGAAGGCTGCATTACACACAAGTAAGTGTTGATTTTTTTCTTTTGCACAAGGACATTTAAGTGTATTTCTCTCTTTATCCTGTCTTCTTGTGACTCCACAGTGTCCCTCATGAACCTTTGTGCTGAGCTTGAACAGTGTGTGTGTGTGTGTGTGTTGAAGCATCCCGTCCTCCTCCCTTCATGTCCGACTTGTCACTGTGCTCCGCAGAACCACGAGCCGCTGCGAGACAATGACTCAGACCTCATTCTGAACGAAGGAGACCTGGCGCTGACCTATGGCGACACAGCCATCACAGCCAACGGGGCCTCGTCCTCCTCCGGCCCCGAAGGATCGGGCGGCAGCGGAGGGGTGAGGCATATTTGGAACATTCTCAAGACAGAGAGTGTTTTCTAACACAATTCAAGCATTTTTTTCCCCCTTTATTTCTAAATCTCAAGTCATAACTTGACAAAAGTATTTGCTACCATCTACACGGCCGTTCTAATATCACAATTTTACTATTTAAATACCATTGTGAATATTGTGTTTCCATTTCTAAATATGAATTTGTTGGTCATTCATGTACACATAACTTGTAATTACAATATTCCCATTGGCACTTGAAGGCTGCATTACACACAAGTAAGTGTTGATTTTTTTCTTTTGCACAAGGACATTTAAGTGTATTTCTCTCTTTATCCTGTCTTCTTGTGACTCCACAGTGTCCCTCATGAACCTTTGTGCTGAGCTTGAACAGTGTGTGTGTGTGTGTGTGTGTGTGTTGAAGCATCCCGTCCTCCTCCCTTCATGTCCGACTTGTCACTGTGCTCCGCAGAACCACGAGCCGCTGCGAGACAATGACTCAGACCTCATTCTGAACGAAGGAGACCTGGCGCTGACCTATGGCGACACAGCCATCACAGCCAACGGGGCCTCGTCCTCCTCCGGCCCCGAAGGATCGGGCGGCAGCTGGGGTGTGAATGGCAAACGCAGCGACAGCACGTCAGAGGACGCTCTAGAGCGAGAACTGGACACGCGTGAACATGAGCTCTTGAGCCGCGGCACACGTCTCGTTTTCCCCATGGAGGACCACGCTTGACCCCGCCTCCCAAACCTTAAACCACGCCTCCCTGCGCTCCATACCTCCACTTTCCTTGTACATCGATCCATCGGACCACCCATGACCCCTCCAAAGATCTCATGCAGGGGGTCTGAACACTCAAGGGAGATCAGGAGGGTTTGTTCTCAGAGAAACGGAGGCGACATAATTGATGCTGTGGCAGATCAGCTTTGGACACTGATTGTCCTTATTGCTGTCATTTATGATGAGGGATTGATGCCGAACGATCTCTGCTGCCCTTAACATTCACATTCATACAATCTCTCACACACACTGCCCGCCGCATATTAACATTTTAGCTTAGTCATTTTTTGTTTTCGTTTAGCAATGCTGCTACAAGCTAGAAATATGATTGACAAATATGACTGAGCCAGTTTTTCTTGTATGAACAGCCATCATTATGGCAATAATTTGCATTTAAATGCTCGTCTTTCCCATCAGGCAAATAAGCGAGCAGCTCATAAAGTTTGTAAATATTCCATGGCAGTGGTGTTCGTGAAAGCTCACAAACACAATGGCAACATTGACACGAGTGCATGCTCATGTCATGACTGCATACGGGAACCTTGTAATACTAAACTCTAGCGAGTTGGAGTTTACACTTCCTGCAATATCTTGGTTGTACGAACGCCAAGTTGACAAGCCGTTCGTTGTAAATATGAATGTTGACCTGCACAGCAGTGGGACAGCTGAATGCAACAAGAGTGCATGAGCCATGCACTTTAGCTGCAGTCCTTGCATGTTTCGCTTTATTATATTAGCATATTAACCACTTGCACACTCTCAGCCAGAATTTGTGATGCAGAACGATGTAATTATCAAGGAGTCTTCATATCTGCATCAAACATTCGTTTTGCGCCTCCTCACATTAGAATGTTCTTGAAGGTGGATCTTTCCATATGTATGAGTTGCTGCTATATAGCAGTCGGCGATTCCTAAATCAGGAATCTGTAGTGTTCAGCATGATGTTGACCCGGCTCTTTATCTGTTCATACAGTAAACGGGTGGCCTTGTGCCAGTAACCGCCAATGTGCATTCCTTCCATCCTCCGTGTCTAGAAAAGGATAATGTTAATGAATGCAAGTCTAAAGTCCAAGAGTTTAGTTAATAACTAAGTCATCATTCATTCCGATTTATACTCAACACAATAAACTAACTTTGGACTCTTTCCATTCAGTAACCTTTACAATGGTCTGCACTTGCGCCTGTCTGTTTGCTTGAGTTGTCACTTCAACGGAATATAGTTCAACATCTGATCAGAACATAAATGTGAATCAAGGAGATTTGCACTATTTATGTGGCGTTTCGGCTAGCAAATGAGCCTCGCGGGCTTCGTGGCAATCGCTGTTTGAGGCGCAGAACCTTAAACCGGCTGTAGCAAGACTGAATTCGCATGAAATCCGGCTAAGAAGTCACTCCTCTTCTGAATGACTCTTTCAACCTGTCTGATAGCTTTTTTTTATTCTGACCATACTATGGTGGATTTGTGTGTTCCTTCAGGATATGTATCCGCATTCATCTTTTACTTGCTGTTCTGCATGTCAGTATATAAACAAACAACAAAAATCCATAATCAAGCTGCCATTTTTTTGTCTGTGATGTATGAAATTTGAATTCCTATTAAGATGCACTCAGCCTGTTAAATAATGTGAAAAAACTGTGGTATGGATTGTAGTTCATCAACTGTACGTTTGTAAAAAATAGCCAATGTATCAAAGTGGGCTGCAGTAGCAATACCTAAGTAAGGTATTTGGTTTATTTTATGTCATTAAATAAGAAGAATAATAAAAAAAGAAAACTAGTGTTTACAACAAAAAAGTATGTACAAGTTTTATTTATAAATAACAGATTTGTTCATGTATTAATAATTCTGATGGTTCACGTAACTTTAGAGTAAATGGTGTTTAAAATGACAAAACAGCGTTAACAAAATGATAATAGTGTGAATGTTGTTGAGCAGTAAAAGCACAAAAACACCTGTATCCTCAAAGAATGATTGTGTGTTTTAGTTTTAGATGAGACGTTCTGCCTATTTAACTATTCAAATTGTAATCCTATCCTCTTCATACACAAATGAACACAACAATTCTGCACAGTCTTAACAGCCCAGTGCAGACTTCGTACGAAAAGAACAAACTGGTGATGTCCAGGGGGAACTGGGAAATCTCACACCAGTGGGAGTGCTGAGACTTAGGGGAGAGAAATCAGAATTTCCTTTGGGGCAAAATTCTTTCTCCACCCTTAAATTTCTCTAGATCTTCAGTTCACTGAATTGCTCTTTGTGCTTCACAGATAAGTTCTTCATTCATGTTTTTTTGGGCAGTACCACAGAAACTGGAGTATCCTTGATGCAAAATGCTCTTTTCATACATTGATGATGAATACAGGAATGCCTAGGAATGTTTTCATTATGAAATCCTCCCAGCGAACTGAACACTCAGTGGGATGTCTGTCTGTCTGCGGGCCTGGTGCATGTGTAACAGCACGAGTGCACGTAAAGACTCGGTCTTGTGTGTCTGATTATGGGCTGCTGGGGATTGGGCAGGGATTATTGCGGATGAAATCTGGCTGTCAGGACACAAGCCGTGCTGAACGTGTTCCCCCTCTTGTTATTGTTAGTCTTTTTCTTACAGGAGTCTTGTCAGTATCAGTTGAGGTCGATGGGTTTGTGAGTGTCTCTCTTCTGTCGTCTACTCTGCGCCCCGTGACGGCACTGTGAGGGAGATCTCGGGGTGTTGCTCCTCAGCTCCATCGGTGTGTCGTAGCTTCATATCAGGCTGTTCCCCCTCTGTCCTCCTGTTCCTCCAGCACATCAGTCTTCTACAGCGAAGAGGGAAACATAACTTTGTTATTGATATGGACAGGAGATATTGGGATGTTTACTGAAAACAATGATTTTGTATAGAATGTCAACAAAGTTTAGTCATAAAAGTACAGTGTGTCATTTCTGCATCGCTAGTATTTGTCACAGATATTCGGCGTGGCGGTGTTCCTATAGGCCTACTCACACTAGAAGCAAATATTACTTTAATAGTTATTAGTATGAATAGCTATATTATATTATTTACTAGTATTTAAATGATTATAAATGTATTTAAATATAATAATCTAATATTAGATTATAATATTTTTTTTTGTTTCTTTTGGTATTTTCATTAACCCTGTAAGACAATGCGTTATTATTAGTAGTAGTATATTTTAATGACATTACATTAATAGTAATAATAATGTTAAAATATTATGTAATTAATCTGATATTTATAATTAATCCTACATTAGATTAATTATATCATTAATATACTAATGTTGTTTATTTTACCCCCCAAAACAGATCACAAGTCATTTTTGATAGTTTTGTATGTAAATGTATTACAATTAAAGTTTAGTCATAAAAGTACAGTGTGTCATTTCTGCATCGCTAGTATTTGTCACAGATATTCGGCGTGGCGGTGTTCCTATAGGCCTACTCACACTAGAAGCAAATATTACTTTAATAGTTATTAGTATGAATAGCTATATTATATTATTTACTAGTATTTAAATGATTATAAATGTATTTAAATATAATAATCTAATATTAGATTATAATATTTTTTTTTGTTTCTTTTGGTATTTTCATTAACCCTGTAAGACAATGCGTTATTATTAGTAGTAGTATATTTTAATGACATTACATTAATAGTAATAATAATGTTAAAATATTATGTAATTAATCTGATATTTATAATTAATCCTACATTAGATTAATTATATCATTAATATACTAATATATACCCCAAAACAGATCACAAGTCATTTTTGATAGTTTTGTATGTAAATGTATTACAATTATTACTACATTTAATAAAATTATGTTGGATTAATTATAAATTAATACATTAAAAGGCGTTTGTGTTCTTATTAACCCTCCCAACACACATTATATAAGTTATAATATGTGTAAATAAATTAAATTATTTTGATCTAATAATAGGATATTAATATATTATTAGTTTTTGTTTATTTTTATTAAGATCATTATTATTAAAATTTTTTTACATTATTACACCAATAATAACAATAAAAGTCCAAATATTATTAAACAATCTGACATTTATATAATTAAATATTAGATTAATAATTAATTACTAGCTTTTTGTTGTTGTGACACCCAAGCAATCAAAAGCTTTTCAAAAATATGTTATTCAAGACATATTTGAAAACAAGGTTGTGATGAGTGCTAGGTCTTGGAGGTTGTCTCATCTGGTACTTGAGGGACACTTAGAGCTCACTCAGCTCAGGGAGCACTGGTCCCTCCAGGTACTAACCAAAACAAAGCAGTCCCTATTTAAGCCTGTTCCAACCACGTGTGGTCGGGTCTGTTAGGTCACACCAGCCCCCCTCATCACATGACGCTGATAGTGATAACAAAGAAGCCTGTATCATGCTCCATCGCTCTGTTATACAAGCCTCGCCATGAAATCAGACTCGAGCATGATGGCTAATTGATTTGACACATCCCGCAGTCGGATATTTTCATAGGTCACAGTGCTGAGAGGATATTTATGATGTTGTGCTGACTTGACTTACAGCACTTTTAACCATTGTATCGGCTACAGTAAAAGTAAAACTGGTCATTTTGCTGACCCGGGTCTGTTTGGAAATTACAGAATTGCGCCACCATATAGCTTCCACTTCCCCGAGTTCAAGAGGACAGTATTAACCCTATGACTTCACTGGCACCATGTACTATTGGTTTCAGACTGGATCAATGTCCCCGGCTAAACTTGACTCTCCTATTGTCTCTTTTTAATGTTCATGATCATTAAATGCTGAATATAGTGCACTGATTCTGCCCTCGACAGTGTTTTTACAATCACTGACTGAAATGGTACACTGTAATCCAATGTCTTGTATGTTGACATTAGTTCTTAAAAGTAGCTAATATAACAACAAACACTATATTTTTATACACTATAAAAAAATTATTACTTTCCTATAAGGCCCTTAATGGGTTAGCTCTTGCGTACCTAACTAGTCTTCTACCACGCTACAATCCATCACGCTCCCTAAGGTCGCAAAACTCTGGACTTTTGGTAGTACCTAAGATAGCAAAGTCCACTAAAGGAGGTAGAGCTTTTTTGCATTCCCTGAAACAACTTACAGAACTACCACATTTTGCTATATGTTTGATTGCATCATATAATAATTGTTGTTAATAGTGTTCATCGTCTGTTTGATTACGTCTTTAATTGATTTTTCCGTACATTTCTGCCATATGTACATTAACTGACAGTCACCACTGATAAGCTACCACTAAATATTGTAGAAACTTAATTTGCTGTAAAGTTGCTTTGCAACGATTTGTATCGTGAAAAGCGCTATACAAATAAACTTGAATTGAATTGAATTATATTTACAGCATTTATCTTGGTTAACATTTTTACAAATACAAACATGAATTAACACTAAGCAATAGTATATTTATAAATTATCATTAATCTAGTTAAAACCTGTTGTTTATGATATATAATGCATTACTTGAACCTTGTAAAGTGTTCCCAGTGGTAAAAAATACAATTTCGCATTTGTGAATCGATGATGTTGACACATTTTAGCTACACGAGAATCTAACTGAAATCTATAACTTTATAAAACATCACGTTTTCTCTTCCCAAGAGGTCGTTGAAGATTATAAAATCAAACTTGGTTCTCTGAAGACCGATTGTATGTATTATACAGATCAGAACTGACACCTTCAACGTTTGTTATAAAGCTGTCAGTCACTCAGTGTATGTGCATGGCATTCACATAGAGCTACTGCATAACAGCACACTGCCGATAAAATCAATGTACATCTTTACAACTACACTAGTTGCAGTGTTGCATAATCAATCTCGGACTCGTACTCTTCTCATCTAACGGTGGAAGCATTAATGTGTAGTCGTGCTAGCTGAATGTAAAACGCACCCATCTAACAAATTTAAACTCCGCGCTAATCTAAAGCAGCAGAAAACATGCCCCATCTTATCATGGATGCCGTTTTGCATTTTGCACGCATCTGTTTGACCTGATAAAGAGTAGTAGAAGACAGTGGCCCTGTTACACATATTACATGTAAATATCATTAATTACAATAAATGAAGGGCACTTCCCCTAAAAGTATAGTATACTATAGAGTATATATAATCCATAGTACTTGTCTTTTAGATTTAAAATCAGCTTTACAAAACACTAACACGTATTAATTCTGTACATATGTAACTGTATTTCCTCAGATGTAATAGTATGGTACTTTAATATATACCATGGTATTTATATGGCTTTCAAAGAATGCTGTGATGCATATACTGGTACTAATTCAGTTACCTTATAAAACTGTACAGTGGCAGTGCCATAATACAGTTCAAAAGTTTGGGGGTGGCAATTTGATTTTTTTTTCTAAAGAAGTCTCTTATGCTCATCGAAGCTACATTTATTTGATCAAAAATACAGTAAAAACAGTATATTGTTAAGTATTATCACAATTTAAAAGCATTTTCTATGTGACAACAGGAATAGGCATTAATCCAGTCTTCAGTGTCACATGATCCTTCAGAAATCATTCTGATTTGGTGCTCATGACACATTTATTATTATTATTATCAATGATGAAAACGGTTGTGCTGGGTAATACTTTTGTAGCAAGTGTGATAGATTTTTTTCAGGATTCTATGCTGAATAAAAAAGTTAAAAAATAGCATTATAATAGCAAATAAGCATGAGTAGAAATACTTTTTTAACAATATAAATGTCTATACTGTAACTTTGATCAATTTAATTTGTCCTTGCTGAATAAACGTAATTAATAATAATAAACTTACTGACCCCAAACGTTTGACCAGAAATGCTATGGGTTGCTATACTATATGTTTTGCAATGGTTTCTTTGCCAAAAACCATATAACTTTTCTGTTGGCGTTAAAGGGATAGTTCACCCAAAAATTAAAATACTGTCATTTAGTCAACCTCATATTGTTCCAAACCTGTATGAGTTTCTTTCATCTGTTGAACACAAAAGAAGATATTTTGAAGAATGTTGATAACCAAAAAGTTGACAGTAACCATTGACTTCCACTGTATTGGGGGAAAAAAATACTATGACTAATACTAAGTCAATGGTACTGACCCCAAACGTTTGACCAGAAATGCTATGGGTTGCTATACTATATGTTTTGCAATGGTTTCTTTGCCAAAAACCATATAACTTTTCTGTTGGCGTTAAAGGGATAGTTCACCCAAAAATTAAAATACTGTCATTTAGTCAACCTAGTTGTTTCTTTCATCTGTTGAACACAAAAGAAGATATTTTGAAGAATGTTGATAACCAAAAAGTTGACAGTAACCATTGACTTCCACTGTATTGGGGGAAAAAAATACTATGACTAATACTAAGTCAATGGCTTCCACATTTGGAACAACATGAGGGTGAGTAAATGATGACAGAATTTTCATTTTCGGGTGAAGTTAACTATCCCTCTACTATACACTCTGTAAATCTGCAATAATATTGCAAAATGAACACTAATGTAAAGTGTGATATACTTGGTCATCACGGTGCCCAATTACGTTGTTATCTCACTAAGTTCTGGGACCATAGTTTGACACCAAGTCGCATTTTTATCCTTTTGTTGACATTCAGACACTTACACATACCATAAACCCATGTTTTGGTGGTTTTAGGTCTTGTCCTTGTTCCTCTTCTGATAACCCAGCTGTCTCATGACCTCGCTGCAGTAGGCTTCAACCTGGTTCACCTGCTCCACGTTCAGCCTTTCCCTCCAGGCGTAAATAGCCTCTTTGGCATCTCTGGATGATATGAGGAAAGGTTTATCCGAGGAATAGCCCTGTCCGTGGGTCATGTTCACCACAAACTTCTCCATGGCCGGAGAGAGGGTGAGGTTGGAGAACCGATAGAGCCTCTGGAGCTCGCCCACGGGTCTGAGGACCAGGTCTTCGTATTTCAGTTTCATGTAGTTTCGCTTCACCCACGGCGGAGCGTTCATAACGAGCAACATGTCGTTGAGCCAGTTATCGCATATTAACTCCATCGCGCTCGAGACGTAGTTCTCTGCCCGATGGACCCTGTTGCTAGGCACCAGAAGGCGCTTGTATTTGTCGCTCTGCTTCTTGCTCCTCAGCACCTGTATGCTCTCCTTCACCAGAGCCAGTTTAGACTTCAGCCGAGAATTATGCACGGCCCGGGGGTCGCGAAACAACTGGACTATCTGGAGGTTGATGGCGGGGTCTCGCATGAGGGGGACCAGAACCGCCAAATCTAAAACCCGCACGTCTTTGATGACCATCACAGGGTACTTTTTACACTCTTTCTCCAGCTCTTTGAGGTCTCTGGGGTGGCATTTGCTACACACGTCTCCTTGAACTAAACCAATTTCGTGCTTTTTATACGCTTTGCAGAGAGGCTCGGAGCAAATGACCTTGTTCGTTTTCCAGCCGAAAATAAAAGAGGTGGTTACGTTGGACGAGCCTGCGTAGAGTTTTAACACTGAGAAGTCGCATCTAAACAGAGAGTTCATCATGTCTCTCACTGCTCCTTGTAAACTGCCCGCATCTCCGGGATAAAGCGCCTGCCACATATTCCACATGGGCTCGTATAAATAAAACACATCAGGATGCTGATTAAATAATTCCCCTAAAAAAGAAGAGCCTGTCCTCCAGGTTGCGTGGAGGTATATGTGCGTTCTGGACTGACTCCTGTTGCCGTAGTCCTCCACCTCCGTTGAGTTGCCAGTCCTGGTGCTACTCCACAGGGCGATGGTGCTCTTCAGATTGGGACACTTTTGTTGCTGATATCCATCTTTAATGTGTGACGATTTGCTCCGGTAATCTAGTACGTAGGGAATTAAAAGCAGCGCCACGGAATATCCTAGAATTAAGATGATGTATTTTTTCTGAAGCCTTCTCTTCATGGCCTCAGCGGAGTGAGAGACGCGGATCTCGGCGAACTGAGGCGCCTGCCTCGATGAATACTGACTGTTAGATTACAGCAGTAAAGTTTAGAGGGTGGAATCTTTTTTCTCAGCGGTAATGCCGTAAGTCCCGCCTCCTGTGCCAGGAATGGCTAGTGGGAGTTGCTCATAAGAGGATTGTGATTGGATAGTTAGGAAGTCACTCATATAGCCTGAAGGGCGGGGGAAAAAATACACCAACCTCGACTACCTACCAAAATATGAGCACAGTTTATATGTATTTAATATGAATTGCCCCTTATGAAAAATCACTGTGCGATATAAATGTGCCATATTTTAATATTATTAAAAAGGTAGGTTAACATACAGAAACACCAAACCATTGTTTGGGCAAGCTAAACAATGTAATTATTAAATACATTAATTGTATAATAAATTATATAAATGTATAAACTATAAAATGTGATAACTAAGCAATAAAATCACTCAATCTGCAGTGGGTTTCGTAAGTATGCCGAAAGGCACAGTTGAGATGAAGTGAACATGCTATCTGATGATACAGTTTTGCATTGCAGTTGCAAAATGTGTTACAGTTTTGTTCTGCGACACATCAATTATAAACATGTTTTATTTGTTTAAACTGTCCTTGTAGTTTGTCTCTTCAGAACTTTTAGGAAATAGTAAAATACTTTATGGTAGAATGCTGCGCAAACAAAAGTGCATGAAATATTTTTTGTATACTGAATGCTTTTTCTGGACTTTTATGTGGAGGAAATTTGAAATGAGCACAAATGTTTTTTTGTTTTTTTTTGTCTGGCTGTTGATTTGTTGTGTCGCGTCATGTTTGGGGCTATTCGATAGGTGGCAGTAAAGCTCCCTCCGGCGTTATCATTGTTCACACGACACCGCAGAAGTAGCATCTGATGTGATGGAGGCGGCAACAGGGGAAATGATAATAAATGTATTAATGATAATAAAATAAACTCATTTAAACATTGCCCTAAATTCGACATTCGCCATCGGATTATATTCGAGAGAGACACGTATATTTTCGATTAATCTCTGACATGTAGCGAACACCTTTGTCATGGGTTTCTTGTTTTGCTAGCCGCAGCTGTTGACAACGGCTCGCTTCTGTCAGCATCACTATCACAAAAGCAGGTTTGTGCTTATATAACTCTATCTATCTATCTATCTATCTATCTATCCTGTGACACAAAGCAAAAGCAGTAATTTTTGGCTTGTGTTTCAGTTGAACTTTGAATCATCAGAATGGCTCACTGGAGCAGGTTTGAGAAGGAGCTGGAGCTTGAGACCAGGAGACTCATCTCACATTATACTTCCATTCAGGATGAGGAAGATCAGAACTTCCAAATGGCCCTGAAATTTGCCTGGTCCAATTTCAAGTAAGTATTTTTCAAGTGAATTTATTCATCCATTTACTTATCACTTTAATGGCTTTGAATGTATTTTTTGAAAAGGACACTGAAGAACAAATAGAGGGAAATACAAAAAAAAAATGTGTATAAAAATGTAAATGAGTTTGGAGCCCTAGCTTGAATTAAAACTAAATAATTGTTTTTCCTTTTGCAATTAATATTTCATTTTTGCACATAAAAACAAAAGAAAACTCATATTTTCCCCCCTCTGGATAGGTTTCATCATTTCCTTGATGCCAACAGACATAATGTACAGCGCTCCATTAATGGGTTAGTCTGAAGCTTTGAACAATTCTGGGCACTCTTTTGCGATATGCTGATATTTTGATATTTTTGTTATTAATTATTCCGGTTTCTCTTTTTCCCAGGATTCATGAGAAGCTCATGGTCCACTCTGACTTAAGTAAAGCAGAGAGTTGGTTGCGGCTAACTGAAGAATTTCTCAGTTCTCCTCTTCCTAATACTGAGGGAACCAAGGTGGGATAACGCTGACATCTTCAGACAATTCTTAGAACCCTACATGTGCTGAATGTCTTTATTACTCTGTCTGTTTTCAGACTGAGGTCCACTATAGTGTGCTGGCTTTATTGCTCCATCTGTCTGACTCCCCATCCAACACAAACTACTGCGAAAGACCTAGACTGAAAGAAACAGGTTTGGCTTTTCTTTAGTGTCAACACGTGCATACTGTTGGACAATACTACTACTAATGTATCTACAAAATAATGTTTATTTCTACAGAGAAAGAAGACACGTTTGATTGGGCCAAGTACCTTATGGAAGGAGAAGATATTGATACTGGACCCTTTCCAGACACTCCAGTGGGTGATCGATATTACACTATTAGATCAGATCTGGTCTAGCATCATATACTAAAAGGCTGGGCGATATGGCATATAAATTAGGGGTGCTCCGATCATGATTTTTGAGGCCGATTGCCGATCACAGAAAGCAGTATCTGCCGATACCGATCACCGATACCGATCTTTTTAAAGCCTTCTTTTTATAATTTATAACTATTTATAGTGATACTTCAATCAGGATTTTTAGACATTTATTCAGGGCCTGAATTTCATGTGATTCTTTTTTTACACAGTACAGTAATACAATCTTTCACAGACATGGTTAAACACAATAAATATAAGCAACACATCATTCAATGCTTTTTACTTTTGCATTTAATTCTAGATTTATATATTAAGCTGCTCAAGCAAGTGACAAAACATTTAAACTACTTTTCTTATGTTATCACAAACTTACCATTGACAGAAATAGTCAGCTCTACTGCCTTTCCTTTTGCATTGAAATTTCATATGTACTGCAAACAATGTACTGTCACTTTAATCCAGCGCGTGTATCACAGCAAAAATAGACTCGGTGCGCGAACGATCTCTGCACTGCTGCAGACGCACCGCTCCTGAACGCACTGCCGTGTGCAGTGCTAATGCTTTAATCCGTTAACATGAGCGCGGAAAAAATACGCACCACATACCACGCACTGCAAACAGAGTAATGTGAACCTGGCATTATGTGTGTGCGCTGCAAGTGTGCATGAGCGCACGGTCTACAGAAGAGCGCGCGAGCAATGCAATTTATAAACTTTAGTGACGATGTGACACTGCCTCGATTGTGCAAGTGACAATTCCTTGTGTCAACTGTGCAGCGTGCAGCTCGCTTATAGACAGACGCGATGTGTGTTGATTTGAAGCCATTTGCGTATTTTAAGAGAAAGAGAGCGCGCGCGGTGATTCACTCACGCTGTTTGTGAAATTACGTCTCACACAAGGTTTTCAAATTACTTTGTAAGTTATTTCATGAAGCAATAGCATTTTTATTAGATGAAAAATGCTAGATAAAAATAGCATTTTTATTAGATGAGCCATGGTTTTGCCTTTTGAAGTAGATTTAAAATATTTAAAGCATACAAATTTTTGTATATTTATTTGAAGTAAAATACTGTCAAATTCTGCTTAAAATAACCAAGCCACTAAGTAAACATAAAGCAATGTTATTTTAGTATCACTGATATACTATTATAGTTTTTGATAATATTTTGAATTAGGTTTTATGTTTAGTTTAATTTTTGTTGTTATTTTTGCTAGTTTTTTTTTAAACATGTCTATATAGTTTTTATTAATTTCTGTTTATTAGATTTAGTTTAGTTTTAGTTGTTGTTATATGTAAAGTTAAACTAAACAAAAATTAGAAATGTTGCCTTGGCAACTCTTTTTATTTAATGTAACACAATTTTAAAAATGTTTTTAGTTTACTATAACAACTTAGAAAATTCTTCCGACAAAGAAGAATTATATTTACTAATTATAATTTATTTGCAGCAATATAACAATACATAGTAATTAACAACAATATTCGCCTGCATGTTTAATTAAACATTTTTAAACAACTTTAAAAGGCCTGACCTGGTCAATGCTATTCTATACTATATTGATTATAGTTAGCCATATTATCCATAACAGAGTACCACAGATCATTTAATCTTTTGCCAGGAGTGGTCTGAGGATGAGAGTGAAGAAGAAGATAGTCAGCAGCCCCTGAGCAGAGAGGATTCTGGTATACAGGTGGACAGAACACCACAGGAGGACCACGAGCAGAATGACAAGACGGTCCAAGTCACCTGGACCGGTATGGGACAGTATCAGCACATTTTCTCATAGTAGCCCTCAGTTAATGAAGGTTGTTTTCAGGACTCCTAGTTCTTACCGAGTCTTGTTTTTGTAGTGGGTGAGCCAGACTCCAGGGCTTGGTTGGAGCAGCATATTGTCACTTCGTATTGGGTTCCCAACTCTCCCCGCTTTCCACACAGCCTCCACCTGCACTCCAACCTCTACAATGTCTGGTAAGACATTTTTGCTTCTAATGTCTTGTTCGCTTACTTCATCACAAGGGCATTAATTTGGACTTTCTGTCATGATTTAATAAGATTTTAGAAGCAAATACTGTTTAATTGAGAGTTTATTTGAGAGTAGATGTTGTCATTTTGCATATCACTCTCTTTCTCTCCAGGGATCAGCACCTGTATAACACTGGGCCTCTTTACCTGCCTGAGGAGAAGTCTTTTGTTACAGAGACACAAGTGATTCGGGAAACTCTTTGGTATGATTATATACTGTATATGTACCATTCAGAAGTTTGGAATATTTTGTTAGTTTTTTATTGTTTTTGAAAGAAGTCTTTTATGCTCACCAAGAGTGTATTTATTTGCTTAAAAAATGCAGTAATATTGGAAAATATTATTACAATTTTAAGGAACATAAGATTTACATTTTTTTTTGTTTGTTTGTTTTTACATTTTTAGCAACAATTAATTCAGTCTTCACATAATCCTTTAAAAATCAGTCTAATATTCTCATTTGGTGCTCATTTATTATCAATTACTATTGGTGCTCAATTAGTAATAATGGTTCTTTTGATTGCTTAATAGTTTTGTGGAAACTGTGGGTGGTACATGTTTTATTCAGGAACCTTATATAGAAAATAAAGTAAAATAGAACTGCATTTATTTTAAATATATATATATATATATATATATATATATGTGTCTCTCTTCCATAAAATTTGTCATTTTGGCTTTTTGTAGTGTAATATTTTTATTAATTAATGCCTGTGTTTGAGTTTATCCCAATAAATGCAGAAATAAAAAACTGTCTCCACTCAC